CCTGCTTCTAGCCGAATGAGACCTTCATATTCCAACTCCCTAGGCAGGACTCGGGTCTCTGGCTGGGACTCCACTCTGCCCTCTGTCAGGAAAGGGGGCTTGTCACCTGGGAACGTGGAACTCAGAAGACTGGGTGGACATGCCGTTTAGACACAGACTGGTGACCTGGCCTCCAAGCGGAGAGGCCCAGCACAGGGACCCCTGAAGCCAAGCACAGCTCCGATGTGCACGCTCCCCATGGCCCTAGGCCTCCCCATAGTTCGTGGAGAGCACACGGGAGCCAGCCTCACAGATCCGCAGACACACTGTGGTCTCAGAGCACTTCCACCCAGGGCACCAGCAAAGGCCCTTGGCCTACCTCCACCCGCGTGAGCTCAAACTCAGCCCATCCTGGCTTCATGCAGCAAAACCCAGGCCCACCATCGCCGACTGCAGCCACCTCCTTGTCAACATGGACCTCAGCTGCTCAGAGCCCAGAGGGAGAGCTAGGCACTGGGGCGGCACACCTGCGTACCCACCTCACATCAGGGGCTGAGGGCAGCGGCCCCAGCCGGATGGGGGTGGCAGAACCACTGTGCTCTCCAAGGGGTAGGGTCAGGCTGAGCAAGGACTTGGCGGCTAGAGTCAAGGAGTGGGCTGGTTGTGTTCTCTGGGAAGGCCCACCTTGGCTTCAGCTAAACTCAGACCCAAAGGCTTCTGCAGGGCATGGGGTGGGGGTCAAGCACTGCACCCAGCCACGGGGAAGGGGGTCGGCACTGCCTGCCAGGGCTGCCTCTCCAGCTGCAGCGGAGCTCTGAGATGGTCCCCGTTGGTCAGCACGTTCCTGTCGGAGAGCAGAGCCAGGCCGAGGCCTTCTCCGCAGCCGGCCTGGAGGCAGGCTCCGCCTCACCGCCGCCCGTGCTGCAGCCGCCGCCAGCAATCTGGACACAGCCTCTGTGGAAGCCAGATGCCTGGGCTCCTGCAAAGTCGCCCACTACGGTGTTTCTCCAGCCAGAATCGCTCCTGCCCTCCAGGACAGGCCTCAGGGTGCCAGAATGTGCTCCCAACACCTGCCAGGTGCAGGTCAGGCAGGCGGGTCAGACAGGCGGGTCAGGCAGGCAGGTCCGGCAGGTGCGGGTCGGGCAGGCGGGTCAGGCAGGCAGGTCCGGCGGGTG